TGCAGGGACCAAAACCCCCACCACGCTGACGCGCAGTGTACCACTCATGAAGCTGCTAAGGGGACAGGGTCACACCACTCCGCTGCTGCTGGCGCAGACCACCACCTGAGCCACTCCTCTGCGCAGAGTCGCGACCCGCTCCACCACCACCGCCGCCGCCTCCGCCTCCGCCACCTCCTCCACCTGCGCCTCCTCCGCCACCTCCGCCGCCTCCGCTCCCTCCGCAACCACCGCCGCCTCCTCCGCCTCCACTGCTGCCGCCGCCGCCGCCACCCCCGGCACCACTCCCACCACCACCCCCACTCCCTCCACTGCCTCCACCACCACCTCCACCGCCCCCGCCAGCCCCTCCAGCGCCCTTGCCCCCCTTGCCCTTGCTGGTGCGGCATCTCCCGCTCGGGGCAGACGCAGCGCCGACCGACTCGAAACCAACTAGGTCGGCCGCAGCAGCAGAGGCAACAGAGGGCAGAAGGGGGGAGGGAGAAAACCTCTCAAAGACGGGGGTGCGAGGGTCACCACGAGAGGCTCCTACAGCGACTATGCTCTTCTCTGCTGCTAGGAGGGCTTTCTCGAGGAGGTCAACGGTGAGAGTGGTGGGGCAAACTAAGAGGAAGTGGTCCGTGACTACGCGGAGAGAGTCAGGGAGCCGGGTGACTATGTAGTAGAGGGTGATGTACATGGGGGGGGGTTTTCTTGGCGCAGAACTCAGCAAGAAGCGCAGCGCGGTAGCGAGTGTCACTAGTGCGGAGGTGCGTTATGAGGTCAGCGACTGTGGGAAAGCCAGCAAGGTCAGGGAAGAGGTACGGTAGCATGAGGCGGCTCAGTGCAGCAGTGGCAGGGGAAGAGTAGCGTGCAACTACAGCGTCGTACAAGGTCTGAGCACTCTTGTACTGGCTAAACTGTGCATGCTCAGTGGTCGGTAAGTGGCGGGGCACAGCAAGGCGAGCAGCAGCATCGCACGTGGCCCATTGTGAGCAAACAGTGGCGTCAGCATGAGCAGCAGGGGCAGGGGAGGCACCAGAAGAGAGGTCAAACAGGGAGAGACCGTCTGCCCTGTCGCACTGTAGGAAAAGCTGCAGATCATCTACCCAGACCTCAAAGTCAACTGCCCGACCCTCAGCGTCAAAGGTGAGACACTTGGGGAGGCCATGACAGCAGTAGACAGGCAGTGAGTACAGTGGGGCAGGGCAGTGCAGTGGCAGAGGCGCTGCTCTTACCAAGCAAGTGAGGCGGTCCCGGGCAGGCCGACAGGCGGCAGCGCCTCAGCTGTGGTGCGGCTCGGCGGCAGGGCGGCTCGGCTGCTGGGCGGCTTGGCGGCAGGGCGGCTCGGCTGCTCGGCGGCTCGGCTGCTCGGCGGCTCGGCTTCTCGGCAGCTTGGCGGCTCGGTCGCTGGGCGGCTGAGCGGCGACGGGGCCGCGGAAGGGTGGCGACGGGGCCGCTGAAAGGGCGGCGACGGGCCGCTGAAAGGGCGGCGACGGGGCCGCGGAAGGGCGGCGACGGGGCCGCTGAAAGGCGGCGACGGGGCCGCTTAAAAGGGGGGGGCGATGGGGCCGCGGAAGGGCGGCGACGGGGTCGCTGAAAGGGCGGGCGGCGACGGGCACGCTGAAAGGGCTGCGTCGGGGCCGCTGAAAGGGCGGCGATGGGGCCGCGGAAGGGCGGCGACGGGGCCGCGGAAGGGCGGCGACGGGGCCGCTGAAAGGGCGGGCGCCGACGGGGCCGTGGAAGGGCGGCGACGGGGCCGTGGAAGGGCGGTGACGGGGCCGCGGAAGGGCGGCGACGGGGCCGCTAAAAGGGTGGCGACGGGGCCGCGGAAAGGGGGGGCCGCGAGGGCGGTGCGAAGGGGGTCGCGAGGGCGGCGCGACGGGGCCGTGAGGACGGCGCGACGGGGCCACTAGGGGCCGTGAGGGAGGCCGCTAGAGGCCACTAAGGGGAGTCACACGGGGCGCGACTCGGGGAGGGGCCAAGCGCGCTCCGGGCAGGAAAAAAAAAGGTGGATAGTCAGTGGGCCCTAGGAACAGTTCCCACGGGGGAACCTGCTCTATACCATGTGAAGATTAGAACGAGAATGAATGCATTGAGCAGAATGAGGATTACAAGTAGCAAACCCTAAAGTGTTGTACCCCATATGAACTCCCCCACTACAGCCTACATAGACTAAAGCATATATGCCTGACATTGCGTTGGCTTACCTACCTAATGACCGACTTGGAAGAGCGGCCTTTTTCTCCTCCAGTGCTGTACGTAGACAATAAGGCCGCCATTGCCTTGTGACAGGAGCACAGACTGGAGCACAGAACGAAGCACATCGCTCTGCGTTACTTCCTTGCTCGAGATTTGCAGCAGCGTGGTCAGCTTCGTCTTGCTCACGTGGCCACTCAGGCCAACACTGCTGATATATTCACTAAGGCACTTCCGCATGGTGATCATCTGCGCTTTTGTACTTTGTTGGGCCTTGTGCCTACGTTTCCTCACTTGTTATAGGCTCTGCGTGTACTATGATATATATATATATATACCTGCATACTTGCTCCTGGTAGGTAGAGATCACTGTGCTGTTGTTGTTGCATATATACCTTTGCATGTGAACTGGTCTTGTGGCCCTTTGGTTGTGCTCAGTGTGTGTGGTGATGTTGTGATCCACCCTGAGCTTGCTTTGCTTCTCTTGACTGGTCTTGTGATCCCTTGCTCTCCCCCACTTTGTCTATGGGGGTGTGTCAAATTATATGCATGTCATGTATGTGTAGGCTGTAGTGGGGTAGCCAATATGGGGTACAACCCCATTCGGGTTTCATATTTGTACCAAACCCTGATCTAGTCAATTCATCCCTACTACTAGATTCTAAGACGATCTGCTGGCCCTGGATACGGCGCTCAGCGACCGCATTTCAAGCATCTCCGATTCTAAGTCTCTCCAATACATAGAACGACCTTAATATAGTGAACAAGGTCCTCGCTCAACTAGTGGCGGATCTCATGGCGTATAATGACGATCCGTCTAATTTCCCGCAGATTCCTGCGGCCGAGAAGGCGGTGGACGAAGCGACTCGGCGCGCGAACACAACTTCTATGCTGATACAGAAATGGCAGAGCGTCGTGTAGGATGCTGTGTAGGCGGAGGCCGAGGCGGAAAAAGCGGTCGCGAATAACCCGTCTTCGACGGCGGCGCAGGTGGCGTTTGCGGAAGCGCAGGAGACGCGGAAATATGTGGTGGATGTGTATGCGGATATCGTGGCGCAAGATCAGCGCGGGCAAGCGCGCCTGGCGTGCGTGCAGCAGGATCTGAACGCTCTCCAGCAGAATCCGCCTCAATACGACGTGAACGTATTTCCGAAGGCCGTGGACGACGCACGCGCCGCGGTTTCCGTCGCCCGCAAGGTGTACGACAACATGGTTGCGGCTATCACTGATGCGCAGAATACGGTTACCCATTACAAGGCGGCGAAAGCGAAGGCGATCGCTGACGCGAATACGCGTTTGGCGAAGGCGAAGCAGAGCCCGGCTCTCGCAGACAAGATGGTGCTTCAGCTCACGGCTAAGCTCAACGCGGCGCTGGTGCGAGCTGACAATGCCGAAAAGGCTGCTGGGATCAGCAAGACTCCTGGGATGGCTAAGACTGCTGAAAAACGCAAGAAGAAGAAACACTAAATGGGCTTCGTAGAAGGCCTATGCGGTCTGACCCATTAGCGCGGGTGTCACATTCTACACTTATTGCAAAAGTTCCAATCTTGCATGCGGTAGCACTCTTGCACTCCTGAATTCTTATTGTGGGCAGCAGTAGCACTAGCACAGCGCTGCTTGAAGGCTGTCCCTGTACCTTCCAGAAATAAGTGCATGCAGGAAATGAGAATGCCCATGTTTGTTTACAAAGAGGGAATGGGGCATGAAGCTGTAAGTTTGTTTTTATTATTTTTGTTGCTTTTTTACGATTTGAAAGGTGATTTCGCATTGTACCGAAAGTTTTTGCGTTGGCTTCCGACATCTTTTTTCGGGTTTACGAGACCTGCAATTCAGAGACAAGGTCATCGACGGTTTTCATTCCAACTCAAAGAGCTGAGTTACTCAAATCGACGGCTCATTTTCCTTTTCGGGCAGGGAACCTTGCCTGTAATCTCAACCGTACAGATGCGGTTCGAGAGTGTTGGAAGTGTGGTAACGTGGAGTCAGTCAACGTATCCGGGCACAACTGTACGTCCTCTCGTGCAGCAACGCATGGAGGGGGAGGGGGGGAGGCGCCCGACGATGAGTCGCGAGCGGAATCGCAACGAAATTCTCGCGAGAGGACCTCCTTGATCACATGGCCTGTCCACCTGACTCCCTCCCTGCTACCACAGGGAAAAAGATTCGTCAACTTCTTGATTTGTGGTGTTTGCTCGCTACCTACCGTACCACGTTGAAGGAGCAGCTGTAACAAGCCTGTCTGTGTCCTGGCATACACCCCACTGCTGTCTTGCCTCAGTCCAAATTCCGGAATCGTTGGTCAAATCCAGTATTTGTCCCTAAAAAACATGATCGAAAGTCGTAAATGTCTGTTTTCTTGGTGGAAGACGCCCAGTGCTGATTTCAGTAGATTGTTGGTAAGCCAGTTACATTCGGAATCATCATGCCAGCCTGGATCCAGGCTCTCGAGAGCACAGCGCAGCATCAGGCGAACATGTCGACGAATCTTAGGCAGCGCTGAATGGGGTAGCACCGCGGAGTAGACTCCAAGGTTTTGCTGGTTTTGCTCATTCTCCACCGTACCTACCACCACTCCTCCCTGTCTTCGCATAGAATCGCACATCCCATGAACTTCCTTTTCAACACAGTCCCTGTCTACTAGTACTTATCATGTCACTCGTTCATTTGCCAGCCGAGCTCATCCACTGTCCATTCCCTATCAGAAGCTTAGAATTCCCCACTGGATTCATATTCGAGAGCCCCGTGCTTTCTTTGTCTTTCAGCTGCCAATGTAGTAGAGCGACATTGAAGTTCTGCGAACAAGCAAGCTGCTTCGATTCAGTATGACTAACGCCGGCGCGATGACGATTTCGCGTGCTTCTCTCGCCGCCGCTCTCCTGGCGTGCTTCGCCGTGCTTCTCGCCCCTCCCGGGGCGCTCGTCTCCGCGCAAAACGCTTTCCTCGTAGCGAAGGCCAAGACGCTTCGCGCCGCTGCAAATCAGACTGCGGCGGACCTTAATGCGGCCCAAGCGGACGCCGCCAAACAGGCGGCTGAAGTCGCCGCCGCCAACCGAACTCTGTCCGATCTGCAGGGCCCGGACCCCGCTCTCAACGACCGCATTGCAATGATCGCCGAAATGAATAACAGCGTCGCCGATGCGCAGTACGACCTTGAAATTGCAAACAAGATTCTCGTTCTCCGGATCGCGGATCTCGCGGCGTTTCAGGCCGATCCGTCGACGCACCCGCAAATCCCGGCGGCGCAGAAGGCGGTCAACGACGCGACGCGGCGCGCGCGCATGACGTCAATGCTGCTAGAGGAATGGCGGCTCGTCGTGCAAGAGGCCGCGGACGCGGAAAAAGACGCGGAGAGGGCGGTAAACAAAAATCCGACTTCGTTGGTGGCGCAGGCTACGCTCGTGGAAGCGCAATTTTACCGCCAATCTGTAAAGGATGTGCTCCCGGATATCGTGGCGCAAGACGCGCGCGCGCAGGCACGGATGGATCGCGTTCAGAAGGAATTGCTGACTCTGCTTTCGCAGGGTCCGCAGGAAGTGAGCATTTTCCAAATGGCAGTGGACGATGCGAGAGGCGCGGTCAGCGCCACGCGCTTGGTGTACGATAGCGCGGTTGCGGCAGTCGCTGACGCGCAGTTGGCGCTCACCGACTATCTCGCGGGCAAGGAAAAGGCGATTACTGACACGAAGGCGCGTTTGGCGAAGGCGAAGCAGAACCAGGCTGTCGCTGACAAGAAGGTGCTTCAGCTCACGGATAAGCTCAAGGCTGCGCTGGTGCAAGTTGACAATGCAGAAAAGGCTGCTGGAATCTACAAGCCTCCTGCAACCAGCAGCAAGACTACCTAAACTTAGCTTCATTTACACGCGGGTGTGTCACTCGGTCGCTCTTCGTTTACACGATCATACGTCACGTCACTCATTCGGGAATGTTTCGAGTGCACAGCAGTAGCACAAGCACTGCTTTGCTCGGCTCAAGAAATCGAAATCAGAGTTCCTTTGGCTTGTCTGGAATGTCGCATGTGTGTGCAGGTGTGCAGTGGGTTGGTTTTTGTTATTGATTGTGATATACGTAGTGCTATTCTTTTCATTCTTTGCATCACCTCATGGATAAGCTATCACATCACATCACCTGCACAGACATGAAACCCGTAAGACTGTTCCAAGGTCCGCAGTTGACAATTGGTGGACAGAAGAATGTGGGGTGATGAATTGGGAGGTTGTATGAAATGTCAACAGACGAGCCAACATGACAAGGTACAGAAAGCAAGGGTGCATAGCATAGCATACCTTCATGCTTTGAGAACAAGGCATAGGAACAAGGATGGTTAAACACGGGATCTCGGCTTGGAGAACAAACCATTGAGCCCTTCCTGTCAAGAACCTGAGCCCTTTCTGTCATGAACCCTCTCTGCAATCAAACCGCTGAGGATATAAAGGCTTGAGCAGTGCCGGTGGCGAGAATTGCGAGGCAAGAGGAACTTCTAAACCGTACACTGATGAAAAGGTAATCGTGAGATGATGTAACCTGTACACTGTACATCTGTTAAACAAGGACCCAGTACATGCTGCTCCATGCAATCTATCAATGCATAGTATTGCTGTAGGTCAGCCACCAGGAGTGCATAAGAATAGAACATGTACGACGGCCAGTTTTACCAGATTAGCGGAACGACAACCGGCCAGTAACGACAAGGAACGCCAATCGGAAGTCACTGTAGAACGACCAGAGCGGGTAGCGGAAAGTCGCCGGTCTGTTACGCTGGACGAAGAAATGCGAATACCACGCGCAGCCGTAACCGACGACAGGGGCCAGTAGGAGGAAACTAGGGTTCCGTGTGACTGCAGATGTTGTGAAGCAAGCGAGAGCGGCGACAGTTCCCGCGGTGTGCCACAAACGAGTGGCTGGCTTGCTGTGCTCTTTGAGGTAAAACGGCCAGAACTCGGTATAAGTCGCGATACGCGTGTGCGTGCGTACTGCTGGTTTCGACTCTAACGACCGTCCTGATGCGGATAGGTGATCCTCTGCAGCATCCCTGGCCATAATCGAGATTTCTTGGTCTAGGTTGTGGGGTATGAAAATAGATTGCCTAGACCACTGACTGGGGTTGGCCGCTAGGCTGGACTTACTACTACTACTAGGGTAGATTACAGCCGCATTGTCTACCTAATGTTTTGGAAGCAAGAAGACAGCTTGAGGAAGTGACCACTGGTTTGGTGATGGGTCGTCCAGTTGATCGCTCTGGCTTCTTGGCGAAATCGTCGTAGCCAGTGAGGCGATAGACGAACGTAACGTACCATGCGATTTCGCGTAAAGGCTCACGAAAAAAACTCCTTTGATCCACCCAAACGAACCCAAGCTCGTAAGGACGCGGCACCTCAAGCAATTTTGCACGATCGATCGCAGGATCGCTGATTCAACCGTACTGAAAATCTGCTGAAAGCATTCAAATCTTTTAAAACCATTTAAAACTCCTAAAACATTCGAACCTGCGCAGGGTCGATCGCAGGTTCGGTGCTAGAGGTGCCGCGTCCTAAACATCTGGGCTGGTTACCATTCCGAGATCGAAAGTGTCGCAAAACTCTGGAAGGGTTCTGCGAATTTAGATAAGGCATCACACTTCCCGGCGAAAACACGTGCGATGTGAGCGATTCTCCGCTGACTTGAATTTCTTCCATCTCGATGAATGTCTTGCCAACACCCGTCAGCCATGCAATGCAAAAATGGCGGTAATGCGGGAATTGCGGCGCATACGCAGCATGCAATGCAACTTATTCTTCGTTCTGCGCCGCTCAGGATGTTGAAGAAAATTGGCCATAGATGGCGCGATAATGGTTCGCGCAAGTAATGCGCACAAATGATGCACTGAAGGGATGCCCGCAAGTGATCCGCGCAAGTGATGCGCGCCAATGATGCGCGACAGGGCAGCTGACGCGCGCAATCGATGCCTTCCGAGTTCGCTTTTCGGTTTATTGGCGCAGAAATTCAATTTAAACGACTTAACTTGGAGCGAGTGTGAAGTTTAATCGCTCTGACGGAAAGTTGCCGTGGATTTCCTTCACTATCCTCCAGCTTTCTTGCCAAACATCATGGCGCAATTTCTAGTCGCGAAAGTGTTACCATCGCCACTCGCGTCGCGAACGTCGTTAGAATCTTTCTCTCAGCAGCACCACAGTGCACTTTGTAACAAACATGGCGGCATGGCGTTTCCACGTCAGGTCTACGTCAGATCGCGGATGACAGGTGGACGCTCGGTGGTAATGACCGCCACGGATCCGAGCCACGTGGCGCGCGGAGAGCGCACCACCAAGGACAATCCAGATCAGCCGTTCGCAGAGAAGGAGGGTTTGATTGAAGGGAAGGCCGTTTTAGCGAAGCCATCCCAGCTGCCACCAGAGCCTCCTAACAAGCTTACAGAGCTCTTTGATAAGGTAAGTTCTTGCTATGGTCTATAATATGCGAGTTTATCTAAAGCGCCTCACAGAATAATGTGGCCGCTGCCACCAGAACCGTCTAGTAAACTCGTGCGACTGGGTGGGTGGCATCGGGTCATCCCCGGGACCCTCTTGTTCTCAGGCCTCAGGCACACCTTATATCGAGTATGTTCCACTACATGCAGGAGGGGCAATCCCCGTGGATTGACAACCTGACGCGTGATTGGGTGGCATCGGGTCATCTCAAAGAGCTCGTCCGACGTGGCATCAGAGGCATCACCAGCAACCCTACTGTATGATTCATCTGCAGCTTAAAATCCCCTGAATGATCGTGGGTGTGACTAAATGAGTTCTTCTGTTTCATTTTCGTCTGTCCAGCTATTAGGTCTGAATTTGTGGTTTCAGGCCTTCATGCATGCTTGCAGTTTTCTTCTTAAACGTTTCTGTCACGAGATTGACATCCTTAATTTGCTATTCGGTGGCTTTTGCAGATTTTTGAGAAGGCAATCAGTGGGACAGACGTGTATGACCAGCAGCTCCGGTAAGCTTCACTACGTGGCTGATAGCTTACTTCTTTTACCGTCAGTGAGGTTTTTCTTGTATGTGTAAGCGAAAATAAAAGCTTTCCAGTCTCTTGTGCTGGGAGGAGGATAGGTGAATACGTTTTGGACTCATGGGGTTGATGTCATGAAACCTTTCTCAGCTGTTATCATATTTCTCAATATTATCCCATCTGCTATTGTCCCATCCGCTGTTGCTACACATTTCTTTTTTCAGGAACATTTTGTTCCGCGAGGGGGTGCTGCTGGGGGGAGGGATGTTGGAGAGCCATGGGGAGGTGGAGAGGGGGGTGGTGGAGGGCGCATATTGGGAGATGGTGAAGCAAGATATCGGTACTGCTGCTGCTTCGTTAGAAGAGCTGTTCCGTGAATCTAATGGTGAGTTTGAGAGTGCTTATAGCAAGTATAGTAAGGTGAAAAGCCATGGGGAGGTGGAGAGGGGGATGGTGGAGGCCGCGTATTGGGAGATGGTGAAACAAGATATCGGCACAGCTGCTGCTTCGTTAGAAGAGCTGTTTCGTCAATCTAATGGTGAGTTGGATGGGTGCTTATAGCAAGTATAGTAAGTTGGGAAGCTGTGGGGAGGTGGAGAGGGGGGTGGTGGAGGGCGCGTATTGGGGGATGGTGAAACAAGATATCGGCACAGCTGCTGCTTCGTTAAAAGAGCTCTTCCGTGCTTCTAATGGTGAGTTTGAGAGTGCTTGTAGCGAGTATATTGAGGTAAGGAGGCATGGGGAGGTTGAGAGCAGGGTTGGTGGAGTGTGCGAGTAGGGAGTCGGCAAGGCAAGCTATCACCATTGCTGCGCTTCGTTAGAAGAACTCTTCGAGTTGGGAGTGTTGGAGCTTGCTAGAACTACTTCAGTAGTTGTAAATTACATAATTCTAATTGTAATGCTCCCTTTTATCACGACATCAGAAGGTTTTTTATATGTTGACCATCTCTCATCCAATCAATGCTTGCCACGTCATCAGGTGGCGATGGGTTCGTCTCCCTTGAAGTCTCGCCGAAGCTAGCCTATGATACGGCAGGTTCGGTGTCGCTGGCTCAGGAGCTCCACGCCGACCTGGCTCGGCCGAACCTGATGGTCAAGATCCCTGCCACCGAGCCTGGCGTGGCTGCGATTCGAGAGATGATTTCTCGCATGAAGAATATCAATGCCACTGTGAGCACGCCTTCTGCTTTCCCCCTGCTTGTGTCCTGCTTCCCCCTGCTTGTGTCCTGCTTCCCCCTGCTTGTGTCCTGCTTCCCCCTGCTTGTGTCCTGCTTCCCCCTGCTTGTGTCCTGCTTCCCCCTGCTTGTGTCCTGCTTCCCCCTGCTTGTGTCCTGCTTCCCCCTGCTTGTGTCCTGCTTCCCCCTGCTTGTGTCCTGCTTCCCCCTGCTTGTGTCCTGCTTCCCCCTGCTTGTGTCCTGCTTCCCCCTGCTTGTGTCCTGCTTCCCCCTGCTTGTGTCCTGCTTCCCCCTGCTTGTGTCCTGCTTTCCCCTCCCTGCCACCGAGCCTGGCATGGCGGCAATTCGAGAGATGACCTCCCGCATGAAAAACATCAATGCCACTGTAAGCACCGTTGGGGCGTATTGAAAGGGTAAGCACCCCCTCTTCTTTGCTCTCTACCATGCAACTCCCTTGCTTCCGTCCGGTTCCCACATGCCAGTGAGCCTCGTGTGGCTGCCATATGAGAGATGACTTCCCGCATGAAGAACATCAATGCCACTGTAAGCACCTCCTAGGCTTTCTTTCCTGTGTGAGCCTGGTTCAACCCTGCTTCCTTCCTGCTACCGAGCCTGGTGCGGCTGCCATTCCTGAAATGTCTTCACACATGAAGAACATCGATGCCACTGTAAGCACCCGTACTCTCTCTGTGTGTCACTTACCCGTGTCGATGCTTGCTTTCCTTCCTGCCACCGAGCCTGGTGTGGCTGCCATTCGAGAGATGATTTCCCGCATTAAGAACATCAATGCCACTGTAAGCACCCGCTCTCTCTATGCGCGCCCCTCTGCTTTCTTGCCTGCTATAACCCTGCTTGCCCCGCTCCCCTTGCCACTGAGCCTGGTGTGGCTGCCATTCGAGAGATGATTTCCCGCATGAAGAACATCAATTCTCTGTGTGTCCTCTTGAATTTCCTTGCTGCTTTGATGATTGATCATGCTGCTTTGATGATTGATCATGCTGCTTTGATGATTGATCATGCTGCTTTGATGATTGATCATGCTGCTTTGATGATTGATCATGCTGCTTTGATGATTGATCATGCTGCTTTGATGATTGATCATGCTGCTTTGATGATTGATCATGCTTGTTCCCCCCAAGCACCTGTACTCTCTCTCTGCGCCGTCTCTGCTCTCCTGCCTGCTTTAACCCTGTTCCCCCCTATTATTCCCCCAACCCCTCCGCTCGTCTTCCCTCTAAAGTGCTACAGCGAGGTTATGGAGGCTTTCGTGGCAGACCTCTTTGTTTCCTCTTTGTTTCCTCTTTGTTTCCTCTTTGTTTCCTCTTTGTTTCCTCTTTGTTTCCTCTTTGTTTCCTCTTTGTTTCCTCTTTGTTTCCTCTTTGTATCCTCTTTGTTTCCTCTTTGTTTCCTCTTTGTTTCCTCTTTGTTTCCTCTTTGTTTCCTCTTTGTTTCCTCTTTGTATCCTCTTTGTTTCCTCTTTGTTTCCTCTTTGTTTCCTCTTTGTTTCCTCTTTGTTTCGTCTTTGTTTCGTCTTTGTTTCGTCTTTGTTTCGTCTTTGTTTCCTCTTTGTTTCCTTGCCCCCTGCATCGCATCTTCCCCACTCCCCCTCCTCTCCCCAAATCCCTGTTCCCTCCTTCTCCCCCTCCCCTCCCTCCCTCCCCACTCCTCCCCCAATCCCACCCCCAAACCCCCCCCCCCTACCCCCCCGCTCAGCTCATTTTCTCGCTGACGCGCTACAGTGAGGTCATGGAGGCTGACGTGGCAGACCTGGAAGGTCCTATTTCCCCACCTAACCCCTGTGTCACCCCCTCCTTTCCCCCTTCTTCCCCTTTTCCCCCCTGGGCGCCCCACTAACCGCTCAGCTCATCTTCTCCCTGACGCGCTACAGTGAGGTCATGGAGGCTTACGTGGCAGGCCTGGAGGACGCCGTGGCAGCTGCCAACGCGGCATCTGAGCTGTCAGCAGCCGCGTCTGACTCAGCAGCAGGTGCCCTGCCACGTGTCAACCTCTCCTCAGTCTCCTCCGTGGCTTCGTTCTTCGTGTCTCGGGTGGACAGCGCTGTTGACAAGCGTCTCAAGGTGTGTGTGGCTTATGTGACAGATCGAACGCGCTGAACTTGTCTCAAGGTGCGTGTGTGCTGCACGCCTCTCCTCAGTCTCCTCTGTGGCTTCGTTCTTCGTCTCTCGGGTGGACAGCGCTGTTGACAAGCGTCTCAAGGTGTGTGCGTGTGTCAGCGGAATTTAAAGTCACACAGGTGTTATTAAAGTCACACGCACACACCTCAAGGGCTGAAGTTGTGGCGAAGTTAGTTCAATTGGAGGCATGCGAACAACATAGAAACCTCTCCTTGGTTGCCTCTGTGGCTTCGTTCTTCGTCTCTCGGGTGGACCGTAGACAAACGTCTCAAGGTGTGCGTGTGGGTTACGAATGGAACAAACGACCACAGGGTTACGATTGTTGTGTGGACAAGGTATGTGTGCGGTAGGGTCCACACCTCTGCGGCCTCTCGAAGTGAGGGTGTTTTTGAGACGTCTCAAAAACACCCTCACTTGACGTGGCTATTCTCAAGGTGTGCATGTGGGTTACGAATGGAACCAACGGCCGAGATTGTTGTGTGGTCAAGGTATGTGTGTGGTGGGGTCCACACCTCTGCGGCCTCTCCTCACTCTCCTCCGTGGCTTCGTTCTTCGTTCCCCGTGTCGACAGCGCCGTTGACAAGCATCTCAAGGTGTGTGTGGGTGGGGAAACGAGCAATCTCCAGACGTGTGTGTCGCTTATGGGTACAACAAATGGGCTGAAATTGTTTGTGCTGTGGCTCAGGGAATGCGTGTGCTACACGCCTCTCCTCAGTCTCCTTCCGTGGCCTCGTTCGTTGTCTCTCGGGTTGACAGCGCTGTGCGTAAGCGTCTCAGAGTGTGCGTAAGCGTCTCAGAGTGTGCATTAGCGTCTCAGAGTGTGCATAAGCGTCTCAGAGTGTGCATAAGCGTCTCAAAGTGTGCTTGTCTAGGGAAAGAACGGCGTGCATGTGTGGTGCATGCCTTTCCTTTGTTGCCTCTTGGCTTCATTCGTTCTTCTTCTGAGGCTCCTCAAAACTCCTCCTCCGCTGTTGCCTCTGCGGCATGGTTTGTTCTTCCTCGTTTCTCGATTCGCTGCGTCTGCGTAAGGGACTCTGCAGGCCATCAGAACAGAGGAGGCTCGGGCTCTGCTGGGCAAGGCAACAGTGGCACAAGCGGCGGTGGCACATCTGAAGCGCCTCTAGAAGCTGATAGCTGTGCTGTGCCTTACAATGTGCAGGCCATCGGGGCGGAGGAAGCATTGGCTCTGCTGGGCAAGGCGGCAGTGGCACAGGCATTGGTGGCATGTGACATGTTTCATGTGCCTGAGTGATGTGTTGATTGCTGGGTGGTCTCGCATACCTGTTCCCTCTGCTCCGCAGGCCATCGGAACAGAGCAGCTGCTGGGCAAGGCAGCAGTGACACAGGCGGCAGTGGCATATCTGAGGCACTCTAAAAGCTGATTGCTGTGCCTTATCATGTGCAGGCAATCGGGACGGAGGAGGCTCGCACTCTTCTGGGCAAGGCAGCAGTTGCACAAGCCGTGGTGGCATATGACATGTTCAAGACCAAGTTCAGCGGTCCCAGGTGGGTGCAGCAGTCAAGTGTTGAGACGTCTCAAAACAAGCAGCAGTGGCACAGGCCGTGGTGGCATATGACATGTTCAAGACCAAGTTCAGCGGTCCCAGGTGGGTTCAGCAGTTTCAGGTATGTTTCAGGTGGGTTCAGCAGTTTCAGGTAAGTTTCAGGTGGGTTCAGCAGTCCTTAGTGCAGTGACCACGACGAGCATTGAAAGGAGTGTAAGATTCACGATGTTGGCAAAGAACATTGCTTTAATTTTTGCCTATCAATATTTATCAAAAGAGTGATGCCCTGCTCAGGTGGAAGGTGCTAGAGCAGTTCGGGGCGTGGGTATAGCGCCCATTGTGGGTGTCGATAGGAGGGACCAATCCATCGTATCTGGACACCAGAAAGAAAAGGAAGAAGCTTGAATTCCTGAATTTTATTGCTTATCTACTGATTGAACCCTCTTCAGATGGAAGGCTTTAGAGCAGCTGGGAGCGCGGGTGCAGCGACCATTGTGGGCGTCAACAGGAGTGAAAGATCCGTCGTATCCGGACACGAAGTACATCGACGCTCTGATTGGTCCACACTCGGCCAACACCATGCCTGACGCCACCCTGCTCGCCTTTGCGGACCATGGGGAGGTGAGAAGTTCTGTGACTTTATTGCAGTTTATCTATTCCCTCATTTTGTTGGTTACAATGATTTTGTTGGAAGAACTGATCTTTGTGCGCTTTTGTGCATACTGTTATCTGTTCTGTTTTCTGTCTCATAATTTCGACAGTGCTGCTTGCTAAGAAGCAGACACATAAGGTTTTTGAGGGACGTATGCTGCTCCACGAAGTACAAAACATTGATTACCACATGTTATCTCTGCCGGGTGTGTGCAGGTGAAGCGCACTGTAGATGCTGACGTGGATGCTGCCTATGGTGTGCTGGATCGTCTCAAGGCTGTTGGAGTGGACATGGAGGAAGTTGCCAAGGTGAGATGACCTTCTGCAGCTGCTAAACGCGCGTCCACATGCATGGCTACATGCATGGCACGCCTACGTGCATGGTGTGCTGGATCATCTCAAGGCTGTGGGAGTGAACATGGAGGAAGTTGCCCAGGTGAGATGAATTTGAAGGACTGCTAAACGCACCCTCACATGCATAGGTGTACGGCTTTTGAGTCGACTCGTAGGTCTTCTCAAGGCCGTAGGAGTGGACATGGAGGAAGTTGCCAAGGTGAGATGACCTTATGCAGCTGCTAATGCGTTCGCACGTGCCTTGATGATGCCTTGTCAATATGTGCGTGGGTACATAGGTGGCACATGCATGCATGGGTGCATGGGTATGCATGCATGGGTGCATGGGTATGCATGCATTGTGTGCATGGGTATGCATGCTTTTTGTGCATGGGTATGCATGCATTGTGTGCATGGCGAAGTTAGGAAGAAAGTAAGAAATGGCTGCTTGTTTTTTTTTTCTTTAGCCCAAGATGAGTCAAGTTTTTTGCGGAATTGTTCTCTTTTTCGCCCGATGGTCATGATTTTGGCAGGAGCTGGAGGCTGATGGCGTTGACAAGTTTGCAAAATCGTTTGATGACCTGCTTGCTGCGCTTCAGCGCAAGGCCACCATGATACGTGGTGCAAGTATCAACTAGGTGGAAGCACATGCTTGCATCCTGTTAGGTTTGCTTGCAGTTACAGGTACGGTATTTGCACTAGACCTCCGCGTTCTACATGTGCTTGCGCATATACTAAGGGATTTTTTTATCCCACGACGTTCATTTACATGCCAAGAATAGTATCAAATGGTAATGGATATATACCAATGTTAGCAGCACATGACAAGTTGCAACTGCATCAAATAATAATATTTTAGAAAGCTTGCTTTCTTGTTGTAGCAATGGCATCGTCTCATTTCAAATGGGTGTAAAGTGTGTAACACTTTCTAAAAAGCTGCTTGTAATGCAGCAATGGCAACGGCGAAGTGCTAGACGCTCTTCGCCAACTATATAGCAAGGGGTGGAGGCCATTTGGCCCCCACCCACGTCTTCGTTTGAAATTTCAAATGTCTTATTTCCCACCTACCCACCCTAGCAAAAATTGCATGTTGTCATGTGTAATGTAGGTACCATATATATCCTGGACGAGAATGATGTAATGCCCATTTGAAACGAAGCTCGTTGCCATTGCAAACACAAGAAAGCAAGCTTTCTAAATTCACCCATCTATGCATGCAGAAGGTGTGGCCGAATACTTGTTCATCCCAAAAACTAGACCCCTGAAGTATCAAAATGTGCGCGTCCTCGAGGTAAATAAATCGATATCCGCGGCGCGGCGCGAGGTGATAGGCAAGGCGCGTTGTCGTAGCAAATGAGAGCACGAATTCACTAAAGGGCGCAAAATTATCTCTTCCTGGGAGAATACTCGCCCCATGAAGCTGGTCAGGAAGGCGCACTCCGTAGCGAAGACACCCACGAAGCTGCGAGAAGCGAGTGAAGCTGGTATCGAAGGTCGCGAGAGGCTTTCGCAAGTTTTCGCCGAGGCGAAACTTGCGACCACCCTACTGGAACCTCTTGGTGGTCGCAAGTTTCGCAGGTCAGAAAATAGACTAGAGATACACTGCGGTAATGGCGGTAATGGCGGCACATGCTCCAGCAGCACGCGACGCAATGCGATGCATCTCACCGGTCGATTCGTGGCGTGCGAGAAATTTCGCGAAAATGGCGCGCGGAGCCAAACGTCAGAACGCGCGCGGAAGCGGAGCGGCCAGCCGAAGCGCGGAAACGGCGCGCGGAACTGACTCCTTCTGAGCAATTTTTATTGGCTCATACTACTACTTATATATTGACAGTCGCCCTCGTAGTCATAGCTCATCTAGACGTCATCGTAAAGCAATTCGTATCTCTTCAACAAGGGATTCCTGTGCTGATTTTCCAACAAATATTCCTATTCTCAAATCTCCGTGCCGCATCGAGCTTTCTTTCCACCATGGCGCAATCCCTTTTGGGGAAAGTGTTACCATCACCACTCCCGTCGCGAGCGTCGCTAAGATTCTCCACTCTGCACCAAAGCCGTGCCAAGCGTGGCGTCATGGCGTGTCCACCTCAGCTCCACGTCAGCAGGTGGATGACAGGTGGACGTTCGGTGGTGATGACTGCCACGGATCCGAGCCACGTGGCGCGCGGAGGGGAGGGTGTGATTGAAGGGAAGGCCGTTCTAGCGAAGCCATCGCTGCTGCCACCGGAGGCTCCTAACAAGCTTACAGAGCTCTATGATAAGGTATGAATTCATGTCTTATGAGTGATAAGAGCCTTTCTGTTCTGAGGTCACACAAATGTAATGGCATCGCTGCTGCCACTGGAGCCTCCTAACAAGCGTACGGATCTTTTTGGAAAGGTAAGAGCTTATTGTGGGTGATACTATAAGAGGATTTTATAGGCGCCTTGACTCGTAACCGTCAGTGCGAGCACCACACACATCTCCTAATCCACCCACAGATCTTTCTCCCGTCCTTTCTTGAAGTGGCCGAAACATGAGTCGTAAGGAATTTATGTATCCAAACATTAAGAAAGATTGCGTTCACGCTTCAACGCTAAGAACTTACGCTGGAGGAGCAGTCCTTGTGTATAGAAAATCTTAGCGGCCTCGTCTTGGTCACCCTCTTGTTCTCACGCACACCTTATATCGAGGATATTTCATCGCAAGCAGGAGGGGCAAATCCCCCTGAAAAGTCCCGTTTTAGCGACCCTCATGTTCACGCACACCTTGTATCGAGTATGTTTTTACTACATGCAGGAGGGGCAGTCCCCATGGATTGACAACCTGACGCGTGATTGGGTATCATCGGGTCATCTGAGGGTGGTCCTGGTCACCCTCCTGTTCTCACGTTCGCCTTATATCGAGTATACTTTTCCGACATGCAGGAGGGGCAATCCCCGTGGATTGACAACCTGACGCGCGATTGGGTGGCATCGGGTCATCTCAAAGAGCTGATTCGACGTGGCGTGAGAGGCATCACCAGCAACCCTACGGTAAGTGTTTTCTTCGTGTCACACCACGACTCAAGATGATGGCTCAAATGTTCATGGCACCGTTGGTGCTGTTCCCACCCACCAAGCATATGTATTGTCCTGCACCCCCCTAATTTCTGATGTCATTGTGAAATGATTCTTCATTCATTGTTTCACGCAAACTGGCCATCGTTCTCTCTCTCCTTTTGGGCGGCGTTGTGTGGTGTTGTTTTTTTTCTTTTCACATCAGATCTTTGAAAAGGCGATTAATGGGACGGACGTGTATGATCAGCAGCTTCGGTAAGCCACCATTAAATCATTGTTATTATTTTAATGAGATTTCCATGAACTTGCCATCAGCAGCTTTGGTAAGCCACCGTTAAAGATTGTTGTGCTTTTGATCCATTAACTTTTTATCCGCACCATGAAAAAACCTATACGGTTTTAATGAACTTTCCATTAAACTGGGGGGGGGGGGGGGGGGGGGTGGTAAGGAGGGATGGTGAGACCAATGCAGAGCTCTGGAAAATCCTGGGAGTGATGTTTCTCATTATTATCCCATCTGCTATTGTCTCACCCGCTATTACAACATTTATTTTCTTTTTCAGGGGCATTTTGATCCGTGAGGGCGTGCCACTGGGTTGAGGGATGGTGGAGAGCCATGGGGAATCCTGGGGGTGAAAATTCTTATTAAGATCCCACCCGCTACTGTCCCACCCGCTATTACCACGTCTATTATTTCAGGGACAAATTGATCCGTGAGGGCGTGCTACAGGAGGGAGGGATGGCGCAGAGCCATGGGGAGGTGGAGAGGGTGGTGGAGGGAGCGTATTGGGAGATGGTGAAGCAAGATATCGCCACTGCTGCTGCCTCGTTAGAAGAGCTGTTCCATGAATCTAACGGTGAGTCTGAGAGTGCTTATAGGGAGTATAGGGAGGCAGAGAGCCATGGGGAGGTGGAGAGGGGGGTGGTGGAGGAGAATGCTTATAGGGAGATGGCGAGGCAAGATAACACCACTGCTGCTGCTTCGTTAGGAGAGCTAGTCAGTTTGGGGGTGTTCGAAGCTTGCAAAATCATTAGTTGTAACCTTATTGGAATATTTTCTTGTTCTAAGTACCATCTCTCATCCAGCCAGTCAATGCCTGCCACGTCATCAGGTGGCGATGGGTTCGTCTCCCTTGAAGTCTCGCCGAAGCTAGCCTATGATGCGCCAGGTACGGTGTCGCTGGCTCGGGAGCTTCACGCCGACCTGGCTCGGCCGAACCTGATGGTCAAGATCCCTGCCACCGAGCCTGGCGTGGCTGCGATTCAAGAGATGATTTCCCGCATGAAGAACATCAATGCCACTGTAAGCAACTTTGGGGCGTATTGAAAGGTCCCAGTTCAGACACGGTTAGGCATAGTAAGGTCACTAATGTACAGGACAGATGGATAATTCTGTTGCAGATTACTGAGGATCAGCCACAGTTAGGCCACTTATGTACTGCTGAGGGGGCGCATGGATAATTCTGTTGCAGGTTGCTTAGAATCAGCGTTCTCCCCTTTTCGTTCTTCTTTCCCCCCTCCCGCTCGCCCCCCCTCACTTCCCCTCCCCCACGTGCCCCCTCTGGTGTCCCCTCCCCCCCCTATGTAGCTCATCTTCTCTCTGACGCCCTACGGCGAGGTGATGGAGGCTTACGTGGCAGGCCTGGAGGACGCTGTGGCAGCTGCCAACGTGGCAGCAGACGCCCTGCCACGTGTCAACCTCTCCTTTGTTGCGTCGGTGGCTTCGTTCTTCATCTCTCGTGTCGACAGCGCCGTTGACAAGCGTCTCAAGGTGTGTGTGGGTGAGGGGGTGCGTCTGTGGGTGAGGAGGTGCGTCTGTGGGTGAGGAGGCATGCGAGTGGGTGAGAGACAGAGTGCGCTCAAGGTGTGTGTGGGTGAGAGGACGAGAGCAGGCTGTGGGGGCATCTGACGTGTTTTATGTTTCAGGTGTGTTGATTGGCGATTAATATCATGTGTGTGTGTGTGTGTGTGTGTGTGTGTGTGTGTGTGTGTGTGTGTGTGTGTGTGTGTGTTTGTGTGCGTGTGTGTGTGTGTGTGTGCGCGCGCGCGTGTGTGTGTGTGTGTGTGTGTGTGTGTGTTCTGCCCTGCAGGCCATCGGAACAGAGGAAGCATTGGCTCTGTTGGGAAAGGCAGCACTGGCACAGGCAGTGGTGGCATATGACATGTTCAAGACCAAGTTCAGCGGTCCCAGGTGGGCTCAGCAGCTTCCGTTGTGTAGTCCAAGGTGGTTTCAGGAGGAGTGACAGATTCATCGTTTTTAGACACAAAGCACCTGGTCCGTTCCTTGCCAATTAGTTTCATCGTTTCTCCCTCTCTTTCCTCTTTTTTTGTTTTGTTTTTTTTTAACCAATTGGACTGCTCACAGGTGGGAGGCTCTGGAGCAGCTGGGAGCACGGGTGCAGCGACCATTGTGGGTGTCAACAGGAGTGAAAGATCCGTCGTATCCGGACACAATTTACATCGATGCTCTGATTGGTCCACACTCGGTCAACACCATCCCTGACGCCACCCTTCTTGCCTTTGCCGACCATGGGGAGGTGGGAAGTCTGCGATTCTCTTTCTGTGTTTTTTTTTTTTTGTTTGTCTGACACGTTGTTTACAGTGAACCGCACATGTTTTCTGCATCCTGTTCCCTGTTCTGGTTTCACTCCCATCTTTTTTTAGGAGTCTGTTTGCTTAAGAAGCGGATACAGAAGAGCGAGGATATTTGATGCTGCACAGGGTATGATACATTGATTTATGTGTTAATCTTTACGCGATTTGTGCAGGTGAAACGCACTGTAGATGCTGACGTGGATGCTGCCTATGCTGTGCTGGATCGTCTCGAGGCTGTTGGAGTGGACATGGAGGAAGTTGCCCAGGTGAGATACATTCATACAATCGCTAAACGCACTGCTGAACACACCCTCACATGCATGGGTGCATGGGTGTACGGCTTTTGAGTCGACTTGAAAGTTGTGTCAAGGCTGTTGGGGTGGCATAGAAGGAAGTTGCCAACGCGTGACCACGTGCATAGGTGCATGGGTTTGTGAGAGAAGTTTGACAACAATTAAATGCTTTCCCTTGTGCAGTGTGAAGGAGCATGTGCATGGATGCTTCTTTGCATGGGGAGGGAGAGTGAAGAATGGGGGAGGAGTTTACTGCTTAGTGTTGAGTATTCTTCTTGCACAAGGAATCAGGTGTTGCTACCGGTGCAGTTTAATCAGGCATTTTGCTTGCAATCTCTCTCGACCTATCGTAATGGTTATGGCAGGAGGTGGAGGCTGATGGCGTTGGCAAGTTCGCAAAATCATTTGATGACCTGCTTGCTGCTCTTCAGTGCAAGGCCACCATGATAAGTGACAGAAGCATCAACTAGGTCTGCATGGTGTTACGTTTGCTTGCAGCTGCCGTTATTTGCTGTGGTCTGAACCTCCATGTTTGAGTTGTGCTTGTGTGCATTCCGTACAGGTACTTGTAGTGCATCACTTTCCTTTTTGTACATGTGTTGGTTTGTTTGTGGTAATATTTTGAACCCGATGTTAGAGGGAAATACCATACGGTAATGCCCAGTGTTGCTCGCTGTAGTAGTATCATGCACGACCAGTCCCTGCTAGCACTAAAGTCACACTACTGAGCTGCTTGCACACTTCTTGGCAGAGAGAATTCAGCATATAATGGGTAGTGACTTGATGGTAGCTTTCCCCCCCATGTGCTGATCACCACCTCGCAATAGCTAGGATTCAGTGCCCGGCCATAGCGGAACATCCAGTCAGTGTGAAGTGGATCCACGATGCCTGGATCACTCTCAGCTGTACATATTTCCATAGCACTTTTAACAATTTGCAAGCAAGACATGTCAGGACCTGAAAGAAGCACCACAATCAGTTGAAACGAGCAGGATGATATGTGAGAGAGATGGGCAGTGAAATTTGTTGGCAAGAACCTTGAAAGCGATGGTGGGAGTATATGTGCCCTGTGTTCATTTTCTTGCGAGCGATTGACAGCACGTCTTTGAAGTCTCCTTCAATGCCATTCAGCCTGCCACACACAACAATAGGGCATAAGCAAAGATAATGAGAAATTGAATTATCACACCTCAAGAAATTAGCACTTACTTCCAGCTTCCAAGAAAGAACCTTGCAGGAGCAGATCCCTTGTTCTTGTTGAAATTCGCACACATGAGCGCAGGAATAGACGGTGGCACAGAGCTAATGTGCTGCCACAGAAGCAACGCTCCTTTCGCTCTTGCTGAAGAACTTCCTGTTTTCACCCTAACATTGTAAGCTTGAAACGCATACCCTGGTGGCTGTAGCCCTTTCACTCGGAATTTAACCCAAGTGGCAACTGCCGGAGTGGATGCACCCCAGGATGTGCTCCCACGCACTTCAGGCGTCTCTGAAAGCCAGAAGTTCCCGCTCTCCATCACCTCAACCTGAAACAGCAGCATGCGTTTTATGGCTTCCATACATAAATAAATAGGTAAAACGGGTTCTGACATCAGCAGTGCGCTCATGTTAGACGTGGGCTGCTTGTGATAGCTTTGCTGACATGGGTACCTGGTCTCGGTTATATAAGATGGCAGAATATTCTTCGCCAGGAGCGTCTTGGCTCTTGGATCCAAACCACTCATATGCTGCTGGTCGTAAGACATGTTTTGACCTTTCCATAATCATTACGACAGCCAAAGACCGACAATGCCATACCTTTCAGCTCATTCTGAAGATACTCGAGCTGCTCCTTGGATCCTGAACTCAATCCATTGTTAGAAAAGAGGCTCTGTAACGCGGATTCGAAGCTGCAATTTTGGATCGCTACCTTCTTGAGTGAAAATTAGGGTGGGATGAAACTTGCGCAACATCTCAAGGCATGCGAACTTGCGTATTTCCCAGGAATTCGGACTGCTTTCTGGTTCTGTGGAGTCTAAGTTCAACATGAGGGCAGAAATTGCCCCAAGGAATGCCATAACGCGCTTTGCAGTCACGTCTGCCCCTTGGATTTCCTAAAACTAAACTCAGTATTCTCCAATAAAACGTCTAACGCACGGATCCCCAATAATAACTTGTGTTAGCAGCACCCAGTGCTGTGAATACACACGCAATTCGCTAGCTTAGCTGGAAGCACGTGCTCAGGTGAGTAGACTGAGCCTGTGCTGACCATAGACGGATACACATCCTGGTACTATCTGTTCACTATCAGCGAGTTTATCAAGAAGCTCCGCTGACAAGTGAGCTTGCGGTAGGTACCCGTTCGGCCGCACACGCAGACCAGAGAGTGAGGAGGTTCACCAGAGAGGCAGCAACTGAAAGCTGGACAAACAGAGAAGCGAAGCAAAGGCAGGGAGTCTGCGCGCAAAAATAGTGAAACATTTTCGGGTGAAAGTACACTCTGGTACACGATTCAATGCAAATTATGCACTGATGATGTTTGTATTGACCACAACCATGAACAATAAAATGTACCAGACATGAAATTAAATCTTATACGATTGAATTGCATTAGATAAAACTAATAGTCCAAATAGATGCGCACGACCAGAATGTCTGAGAATGGAACAGTAATCCTCCGCTCCCGATTCTTCCGGCTCAACGGCCGTCCCTTTCCTCCATACAGCTCCCTGTTTAACCTCACATCAGCAACCCTCCATATTGTCACACGCTCCTCCTCGTCCACCTCCACTAACGAAAGAATCTCCTCAGACATTTTCCCTCCACTAGCAGTAGTGCTCTTGTCCCCTGTATTGTCTGCTTCGCTAGGCAGCCGGTAGTGTACATACATTGGAAGCTCCTTGAACCGGATTAAATCGTCTGGAACCTTGACCACACGCTCGGCACCAGGAGAAGAGACCTGACAGGGGTGAGAGGGGTTGGGGGAAAGAGGGGGAGAGATTACGGCAAGAAGAAGGGTAACACAGGGGAGAATGAAGGGGAATTAAGAACACGAGCAAGCTTCGAATGGTCTCACAATCGTCTGGGACCTTGACGACACGTTTGACCCGAAGGAACGTGAGAGAGATGCTACTGGGAGAGGAGCAAGCAAAGCAAGAAAGGGGTTAGGCTGGAAAAAACAATCGAAGGAAATTCTGAGGGGAAAAAAAAAAGGTGAATTCAATCATCATTCCACAACAGTACCCTGTCTGATTACAACAGGATTCATTCCCGTAAAAGAGATTGCATCCAAATGAGAATTTCGCAGAGGAAGCAGTGTGACAAAAAAAAAAACAAAAAACAAAAACAAACAAACAAACAAATCGAACCCGCAGAAATGAGCAACGAAACTAGTTGTGTTGAGGCCCTTTGAACCATCCGATCAGGGCCCCCAACCACGCTGAACCTACTGTCTGGTCTGGTGGATCAGCCAGCTGACAGCTGCAGACTCACCTACCTACCCACACAGCCCCCCACCCCCCTTTCCTACACAAAATCCTCACCTCCATCTGAACGACCTGAGGCAGCTCGCCCCTCTCCAAAGCGTCAAGAGCAACCCTCCCCCCTCCCTCCTCCCCCCTCCCCCCTCCTCACCCCACCTTCCGCCTCACCTCGATCTGAATATCCTCAGCCAGCTCGCCCCTCTCCCCAGTAGCAACGACCAGAGCGCTGAATCTGTACAATCAGCGCCCTGTAACTGTTTACAAACTATAAGCAATCCCACCCCACTCCGCTCCACTCCCCCTCACCCCACCTTCCGCCTCATCTCGATCTGAATGTCCTGAGGCAGCTCGGCCCGCTCCCCTACTGCGACCAGAACGTCAAGAGCAAAACCCCCTCCCTCCCCCATCACCCCCACCTTCCGCCTCACCTCGATCTGAATGTTCTCAGGCAATTCGCCCCTCTCCCCCGCAGCAATGACCAGTGCGTTTGAAGTTGTACAATCAGGCCCCTGTACTTGGTGCCTAGCTATAAGCTATCCCACTCCACCCCACTCCACCACAATCCACCCCCACCCTCTTACTTTCCGCCTCACCTCAATCTGAATGTCCTGAGGCAGCTCGCCCCTCTCCCCTGCAGCAATGACCAGCGCGTTACAGCGCAGGGCCCTATACTCGTTCTCTAGCAATAAGCTATCACATCCCACCCCACCCCATCCCACCCCACTCCACTCCCCCCGTTTCCTCTCCTCCTCACCTCAATCTGAATGTCCTGGGGCAGCTCGCCCCTCTCCCCTGCAGCAATGACCAGAGCGTTGAAGTCAAGGAGGAACGAGTCTATGTCCTCCACCATTGGGGAGCCGTAGCTGCGTTGAGAGGGGAGGGGGGATGGGGGAGGGGGGAGGGGGGGAGGGGGGATGGGTAATTGGTGAGTGTGGAGCAGCAATGATCAGCGCGTTGAAATCGAGGAGGAACGAGTCTATATCCTCCACCATGGGGGAGACGTAGCTGCGTTGAGGGGGGAGGGGAGAATGGGGGATGGGTACATGCAGTGTGCAATAAAGATTGGGGGAGACGGGGAATAACACGGACAACAGGGCAGCTCGCCCCTCTCCCCAGCTGTGATGACCAGAGCGTTGAAATCAAGGAGGAACGAGTCTATGTCCTCCACCCTGGGGGATCCGTAGCTGCATGCATAAGGGACGGGGTATGGGGGATGGGGAATGGGGTATGGGGGATGGGGAATGCGGTATGGGGTATGGGAAATGGGGTATGGGGTATGGGGGGATGGCGGATGGGTGTGTGTGGCGCAGCAATAGAGAGGAGGTGGTTGAAGTCGAGGAGGAACGAGTTTATATCCTCCACCCTGGGGGAGCCGTAGCTGCACAAGCGGGAGCGACAGGACCTCCTTCTTTCCACCTGCAGCAATGAACACCGTTGAATCAAGGAGGAACGAGTCTATGTCCTCCACCATGGGGGAGCCGTAGCTGCACAAGAGGGAGGCAGGGGAAAAGCACATGCGACGAGCATTCGAGATGGTTGAAGCTGGCGTACACTTGGGCAGCTCCCCTCTCTCCCCCGCAGCAATGACCAGAGCGTTGAAGTCAAGGAGGAACGAGTCTATGTCCTCCACCCTGGGGGAGCCGTAGCTGCATGCATAAGGGGTGGGGGGTGGGGAATGGGGTATGGGGGGATGGGGGATGGGCGTGTGTGGCGCAGCAATAGAGAGGACCTCGTTGAAATCAAGGAGGAACGAGTCTATGTCCTCCACCCTGGGGGAGCCGAAGCTGCAATAGAGATGGGGACAAGGAGGAAGGGGGGGGGAGCGGGGGGATATATGATGGAGGTAGAGGTAAGGACAAGGGCTTAGGGATAACTGTTGGGGCTTATGGACGTCTCACAAGGACAAGGGCTTCGGGATAAGTCGACTGAAAAATCGCCCCAAAGCAGGATAATGGCTTAAGGGTACAATCTTCCTTTCCCCCTCCTCCTCCCCCTCTCTCACCCCCCCCCCCCCATTCCCCTCCTCCCTATTCCCCTCCACGCCATTCCACTCCCCCCAATCCCCCTACTTTTATTCCCCCCCCTTCAATTCAACTACTTTCAGTTTCCCCCCCCCAACTCCCTGTCACTCACACGTCACTGAGTTTGTCCAGTCGCATGCGAATACAGTTCTTCTCCGGGCACACCTTGAATCTGTACAGCTCAAACTCCCCCAAACACTCACCTCCCCTGTTTTCACCATCTAGCCCCTCCCCCGAAAGAGCCCGCCCACTCACACATCTGTCAGCTTGTCCAGTCGCACGCGGATCCAGTTCCTCTCAGGGTAAACCTTGAAGCCATACAGCTCAAACTCCCCGCCGTACTTGCTCCTCCCTAGCAACTCCTACCCCCAGCCCACAGGCTTCCTTTCCCTTCGCTTTCTTTCAACCAACCCCATATGTCCCCATCCGGGCATCCCTGTCATGTCACTGAGTTTGTCCAGTCGCACGCGGTGACTTTTGAGTCGACTCAAAAGTCCCCCTCCACTCCCGTTGCTTGGTCCCCATCCCTGTCACTCACACGTCACTGGGTTTGTCCAGTCGCACGCGGATTCAGTTCCTCTCAGGGTACACCTTAAAGCCATACAGCTCAAACTCCCCCCCATGCTTGCTCCTCCCTAGCAACTCCTACCCCCAGCCCACAGGCTTCCCTTCCCTTCGCTTCACTTTCTTTCAACCACCCCCGTTTGTCCCCATCCCTGTCACTCACACGTCACTGAGTTTGTCAAGTCGCACGCGAATCCAGTTCCTCTCGGGGTAAACCTTGAATCCGTACAGCTCAAACTCCCCACCGTACTTGCTCCCTGCCAGCACCGCCTGTGCCAACTCCAGCGCTGTCTGCCCCCACGCTGCCCCGTTCAAGACAAACCCTCCGCCATCCAGCCCGTCTCCAGGCTGGAAGGGGAGGAAAGGGAACCAAGGGAGGGAGGGGAACGAGAAGAAGCAACGGGTTTAACGCTCAAACTCCCCTCCATATTTGCTCCCTGCTACCACCGCGTCTGCCAACTCCAGCGCTGTCTGCCCCCACGCTGCCCCGTTCAAGACGAACCCACCTCCATCCAACCCATCTCCAGGCTGGAAGGGAAAAAAACCACCAAAGTGAGGGAGGAGAACAGGCAGGAAAAAGAAACGGCTTTGTCTTGTTGAACAGCTCATAGCCGATATTTCCCATATGCAGCTCAAACCCCCCGCCGTACTTGCTCCCTGCTAGCACCTCCTGTGCCAACTCCAGAGCTGTCTGCCCTGCCCCCACGCTACCCCGTTCAGGACGAAGCCTCCGCCGTCCAACCTGTCTCAGGGCTGGGAAGTGAGGAAAGGGAACGACGGGAGGGAGGGGAACGAGAAGAAGCATTAGGTTAACCTCCCCTCCGTACTTGCTCCCCCCTAGAACCTCCTGTGCTAACTCCAAGGCGGTCTGTCCCCGCGCTGCCCCGTTCAGGACGAAGCCTCCACCGTCCAATCCGTCTCCATCTGGTTGAGGTGGAAAAGCAAGGGAGGGACGGAAAAATGGGAGTTTGTTTTGTTCCCTTACAGTGCTCCCTCCTTCCCACCACCTCCTGTGCATTTTGAAACCTTGAAACCTTAAACGTTGAACCTGAAACCCTGGATGAACCCTGCTGACGAGTGGGGCGGGGACCTTTTTTTGGACCTAACCCGCCAGCTTAGACAACCCTTCCCAGTGTCGCGTTATTAACACTTAGCTGGCAACTAAGTGTGAATTCCACAGCAGCCAAGGTGAGGTGTACTATAGTTTACTGCTTTTTGCATTTTACTTTGTTTGCTCTTTTTGGAATGTTACTGTACTATACAGAGTCGAGCTACTGAGGAGTTCGAGGGGGTTGGTGAGGAGGATGAGGGCGAATTCGATTCTAGCCAGCCTGGGAATTCAATTCGACATTCACAGGCTGGAAGGCGGTGCATGCCTAGTGGGCCCAGTGGGACCCAGCTAGCACCTTGAAGCCTACGCGATCAGCTCGGCTGACTCGCGCTTAGGAGTAGAGGTAGCTTGCGGGACAAGGCACCTAGGCAGGAGAGGATGTAGTCGGAAGTAGCGCTCGGACTCATTGCTTTTTGCTTGTATGTTTCTCATTTACTGCAATTGTGATTTCCTAATCCACGGGGAACTAGCAGTAGAGAGGAGCTGAAGCAAATCGGCGGAGCCCTTGCGAGGGAGTTAAGTCTTGTTTCTGGGAAGCCTGAGATACGAGGAGGGGATCAGAACAGAGTGATTACATACGTCAGGAGGAAGAAGGGATGAGCCGGTCACCTGGATGAGAGGCGGAGGGAGAGGGAGGAGGAAGTCAGGCAGGGATTCAAGGGAGAGTGAGAAGGAAGGGATAGCAGAGGGGGATTCACGACACCAGCCTAAACCCAACTTCTCAAAGTTTTTCCCAACTCACAACAACTCTTGTGCACCAACCACCACAGTTCTGCAACGCTCAGCAGCACTCTGCACTGCTTACCACCACGTCGGCCGCATCTTCCTCCTCAAACTCCCACTCGTCCTCCTCGTCCTCCCCCTCCTCCTCCCTCTCCCCAACCTCGTCACCCACGGCTTCCTCTGCTGCGTGTGAGGGAATGGAATGGAGAGCCGCCAGGTGGAATGGAAGGCGGCGTGGGGAGAGGAGAGCAAGTGTGTGGGAGACAGGCAGGCACGGGGAGGGATGGAGGAATTAAGGAAGGTGAGAAGGAACACAGAGAGGTGGGAGGGACATCAGCGTCGATGAGATGGCCTTATTTGTTCCATACAAAGGAAGACAAGTGGGGGACGGATGAAGAGAAAGAAACAGGCACGGGGAGGGATGGAGGAATTAAGGAAAGGAAGGTGAGAAGGAACACAGAGAGGTGCAAGGGAGGGAGGTCAGCTTTGATGGGATGGCCTTCTTTGTTCCATACAAGGGACGACAAGTGGGGGACGGATGAAGAGAAAGAAACAAGCACGGGGAGGGATGGAGGAATTAAGGAAGGTGAGAAGGAACACAGAGAGGTGGGAGGGACATCAGCGTCGATGGGATGGCCTTATTTGTTCCATACAAGGGACGGATGAAGAGAAACACAGAAGTCACCTTGATTCGACTCCACCTGCTGCAGCACCACCAAGGTGCCTTCGTCTCAACGCCTTCTGCCAGCCAAGAGAAAAGGCACTTCTGCCCCTGCCCTCCCAACATAGCGACCAGACCAGCCAAGACACCCCAAGACGAGTCGACTCATAACCCACCTTGACTCGATTCCACCTGCTGCAGCACCACCATCTCAACTCAACTCCCTCTGCCACCGGCCCGGCTGCCCCCGTTTCCCTTCCCCAACCTACTGACCAGCCACGATAGGCCAAGACGGCTGTCCGTCCTCCTCTCGTTATAAAAGAGATGTTTTGAGACGTCTCAAAACATCTCTTTTATCAGATATAAATCTATTGGATTCGAAACGCAGCAAGCCTGCTAAGAGTAACGATCTGAGTCTACTAATATGAAAATTGAGACGTCTCAAAACATCTCAAAACATCTCTTATATCACCTGACCAGCCAAGATAGGCCAAGACGGCTGTCCGTCCTCCTCTCTCAACATAACGACCGGCTAAGACAACCCAAGATACAGTCGACTCATAACTCACCTTGACTTGATTCCATCCACCCACTGCAGCACCACCGTCTCGGCGCCTTCTGCCATCGGCCCTTCTGCCCCTCCCCTCTCAACATACCGACCAGCCAACACACCCCAAGATGAGTCGCCTCATAACCCACCTTGATTCGACTCCACCCGCTGCAGCACAAGCGTCTCCACTCCCTCTGCCACCGAGCCCTCTGCCCCTTCCTCCCCTCCCAACGTACTCACCGTTTAAGATGCTCAAGATGAGTCGTGAGTCAGAACTCGACAAACGATCCTGATTCCTGACTCGTAACTCACCTTGATTCGACTCCACCACTCGCTGAAGCACGACCGTCTCAACGCCCTCTGCCACCGGCCCCTCTGCCTCCACCCACGTGCCGTCATCCCCCTTATAGAGAACCACCGTTTCGGCATAACCCGTTTCATCCCCCTTATGAAGCACCACCGTTTCGAGATCAGTTTCTCCTGAAGGCAATTCTTCCTCCTCGGTTTCCTTTCCTGGGGCAATCTCGATGGAACCACTTTGTTTCGTTTCAACAAACCCCTTTGCCGTCTCACTTCCCTCCTCGTTCTCCGCAGCATACCCTACCACCTCGCCTTTCTTCCCCTCCTCCTTCCTCTTATCCCGCTTCTCTTTTTTTCCCTTCTTCTCCTTCTTCTCTTTCTCTTTCTTCTCTTTCTTTTCCTTCTTCTCCTTTTTCTCCTTCTTCCCCTTGCTCCCTCCATCCAATTCGCCAGCTGTCAGATCCACTACATTCTCGTTATCGTCACTCTCGCTATTTTCACCGCCGTCTCCCGAAACTGCCAGCATTCGCAGAGTTTGCTGACGCGGCAGCGACGGTCCGAAACCCCTTGCGTGATAAAAACGAGCATATTTCCCAAGTGCGGAGCATTGGATGCCTGCTGGACGCGTGACTGTAACGGAAGGTGGCAGAGGAGTCACTCGGATAAATGCGACTGCCGAAGGTGACAATAGCAAATGCGCAGACGCCATTGTAGCAGCTCTTCGGCTTGCAGCAGCTGGAATACTCAGAGGACTGAATCTAAAAATGGCCGCGGTTTTCCTGAAACTACTAGCCTCGGGATTGCCTGTAACCGCGGGTTTGAGTGGAGCCGCGACAGCAAAGCAGGTCAGCGTCCGAGGCGCCTCGAAAGTGGCCGTGGCAGCAAAAGAGGTCAGGACCTTGGTTTGGATTCGTTTTGGGAGAGAGAAACAGCTGGGGATAGCAGAACGGTTCCAGAGACGGTCGAAAACGCGCGACGACGCAGCGGGAAACGCGGCGGATAACGCGGCTCTGGAAGTCATGCACTGCGAGTTGGCGCGTCGCCGTGTTACGCGACTGGGCTGACTGAAAACGGAAACGGGAGATTTGCTTGTAAGCTGGTCCAAGTGCGATTTGCTGGGTTGTAGGAGAAAGGTGTGGGAAAAAATCAGTGCCCCGCAGAGTCTTAGTAATGCGAAATTGATTTTGTATGTTCAGTAGTGTAGTTACGTGTAGTCTCCCTAAGAGAGTTTCTGAGTTGAGCTGTAACGCATAATATTTTGCGACATGATCTGTAGCGAAGTCCAGGTGCAATCGTCGCTCGAAAATAAATTTGGCGAGTGGCTTTTGGACTGGCTGCAGTACAAGCCGTGCGCCTAGGTAACAAAGTAACCCTGAGTCTGGCTGACTACTACGAGGACATGTTGGGTACGCATCGCAGACGAGACGAAGTACGTCGTACCACCCCGATGGTACTACATCGCGGATAAACCGCTGATCTTCGCAGAGCGTCCTCCGAGAATCACGCAACTCTCGAGCGGTTATTAGAGTAGCTTGAAAGTTCCTAGTAGAGGACACGGTAAGTTAGCTTCGTCCGATTCTTCCTGCGACTTTTTTACAAGACCAGGCATTGGCGATGACGTGTACAAACCGTCGCGGAATCTGCCTTTGTTCATTGCCGAGATTAGCTTGACGCTTGTACGCGTGAACCGTGCATGAGTAGCTAAGTTCCGTCCAATGCTACATTCGTTAACGCGTAAGCTGCTATAACGCGTACGACAACCGGCGTCAATAGCGAATGGCTAATTCCCTCCTACCGCTTGCCGTAGCGGCGACAGGCGCGCTGCTAGTCTCCGCTTCCACCGTCACCGTAATGCTTCCGCTGCTCCCTGCCACGTGGACCAATCGCCTGCTTCCAAGTGTCTCTCTTGAAGACTTGTGAGTTGCGAGCTCAGCTTACCATGCCTTGCTGCTTCCCCCCGCATGTCTCTCCCCTATTTTCCCTCTCCGCTTTCCTGCCGCGCTCGCTGCAGCCTGGTGCGCATGACAACTTGCCTCTCCCATCCCGCATCCCCCATTCCCCCATCTCTCCGCCTTGCCCGCTTCCTCCTCTCCTCGCCACAGCCTTTATTACTGCAGCCTCGTAACCGTGATAGTTGCCTTGCCTTTTTACATCCTCCATCCCCTATTTCCTCTTGCCTCCCCCCGGCCCCCCCGCTCCCCTCCCGACTCCCCACTTTCCACCCCTTGCCGCAGCCTCTACTACTGCAATTCGTGCCCACGTTAACTTCCCTTGCCCCTCTACATCCACTTTTTCCCCTTGCCCTCCTCCCAGATCCCCCGGCTCCCCGCTCCCCTCACTACCCCGCAAGCCTCCTTGCAGCCTCTAATACTGCAACCTCATGCCCATGACAGCTGCAACCTCATGCCCATGACAGCTGCAACCTCATGCCCATGACAGCTGCAACCTCATGCCCATGAC